CTACAAAATACAATACACATCTACTAGTGTTTATCCAGGTATGTTAAAATATAATAGGAATTTTGCTTTCTGAGAGTAAAACATAAAATGGCATCCGTATTTTAATTTTGAAACAAACTACTTGATTGTTGAGCTGATGAATTGTGTACTTTGTTCTTACATTTTCTTGACATTTGTTGCCATCTAGTGTTCCAGTTTGCATATTGCATGCTAAGTAAGGGCACAGAAGGAATTATTTCATGTTCTATATTAACACTGATGATGGCAGTGAAGACACCTGAGGATTTTATTATTTATTTATTTATTTATTTAAGAGAGAGAGTAAGCATGAATGGGGGAGGGGCAGAGGGAGAAGCAGATTCCCCGCTGAGAAGGGAGCCCAATATGGAGCTTGAACCCAGGACTCTGGGATCATGACCCCAGCAGAAAGCAGATGCTTAATCCACTGAGCCAGCCAAGCACCTCACTTGGAAAATTTTTTTTTTAAATGTTCTTTTTTTAAAAAATTTTTTTAGGGATCCCTGGGTGGCGCAGTGGTTTAGCGCCTGCCTTTGGCCCAGGGCGCGATCCTGGAGACCTGGGATCGAGTCCCACGTCGGGCTCCCGGTGCATGGAGCCTGCTTCTCCCTCTGCCTCTGTCTCTGCCTCTCTCTCTCTCTGTGACTGTCATAAATAAATTAAAAAAAAAATTAAAAAAAATTTTTTTTAAATTTTTATTTATTTATGATAGTCACAGAGAGAGAGGCAGAGACACAGGCAGAGGGAGAAGCAAAGCAGGCTCCATGCACCGGAAGCCCGACGTGGGACTCTATCCCGGGTCTCCAGGATCGCGCCCTGGGCCAAAGGCAGGCGCCAAACCGCTGCGCCACCCGGGGATCCCTCACTTGGGAATTTTATAAGCAAATAAGTCTATAACACAGGGAACCTGTAATGCTGTGCATAGTTCAGCTGTGGAACCACCCTGGCTCAGATCTCTCTACTCTGCCACTTTGTAGGTCTGTGATCCTGGGCAAGTTACTTAATGTCTCAGAGCTGCACAGTTTCCTTAGCTGAGTAGTAAGAACTACTTAAAATTTAGCAAGAGTGTTAAATATGTTAATCAATGGAAACCATTTAGCAAAGTATCTGGCTCATGGTGAGTGGTCAATAAATTGTTTTGGTTTTCTTTGAAAATTGCAAGCCATTACAACCAGGGGTAATTTTAAAAGAGTGGGAAAAAAAATATCCTCAGAAGAAATGAGGAAGAAAAGTAGAGGTTTTGCAGTGATGCTTTGGTAAAGCTACAGAGATGAAAAGGTTTAGTAGGCCTCAGATCTGCTTGCTTCTATTTGAAGGGAAATTGTTGGCTTTCACATGAAGTTATCATGAACTTATCTATAATGAGATAACACTCCAAGGGAAGATTTTTAAAAAAAGAAAACAAAAACCTGAGAGGTTGAATAAATGTCCCCAACCCTTTTTCTTTTCCTTTCCAAATTCTTTTTCTTATACTACAGCAGAATCAAAAAGATGAAAATTTAGAAACCTAAACTTAAAAAGATCAAAACAATTGATCATTTGATTGCAAGCACAGGCAGAGAATATAATGCCCCCCCCTTTTTTTTTTTGACAGAGATTGAGCAAGTAAGGTGAAGGGGTGGGTTGGGAGGGGGCAGAAGGAGAGGGAGAGAGAATCTTAAGCAAGCTTCATGCTCAGCGGGGAGCCCACCATGGGGCTTGAACTCAGGACCCAGAGATCATGACTTAAGTCAAAATTGACACTTAACTGACTGAGCTTCCCGGCTGCTCCATTGCTTCTTGATATGTGCATTATCTGCCACAAAAAAAATAATAGACATCTTGAAAAGGGGAGACAGTTTTCTAGCAAAGAAGAGTTTATAAATTAAAAAAATCAATAGTTGTCATTGTTCATAAGTTAAATGCTTAAAACATATTGATGATCATTTTAGTTTTGTGGGCTATAGTTCATAAAAATGAAAATACTTTTGCAAGTTTTTATTTTAAATTTTAAATATTTTAAAATTAATTGAATTTTAAATTTAATTTTTGAAGTGTGAATTTTGTTGTTTTTCATGAGTCTTTAATTATTAGGTTGTGACTAGTTCGATTACAAAGATTTCTAGAGACCTAACCCTCACACTTGGGAAGGACTTTCATAGGTCCTAAAATAGGTTTCCTATTTTAAAAAGTTGAGCTGACTAGATACAAATTTGTTTCAGAAAACGTTTTGACCTCATTAAAATAGTAACCCATACTCGGTTTAATAGAACTAAAGAGGGGAATATCAAGTCCAATAAATTATGTTTTGAAAATTGTGTTATAATGTGGCCAGCATAGAATAACCACAAATAAAGAAACTTCCCAGAAAAGATCCCTTGACAATTGAGTTGACTGGGTGGGGGGAATAGTGTAATTCATTTAACTCCCCAAGAGCTCCAGCCTTTTGCCCCAAAACAGGGCTGTGCTCAGGGAAAGAAAGAAGCTACCCCCTTGGGAGCCACTGGGAGAAATGGCAACTACAGACCCCAAATCCACTTGGTCCCCTCTGAAGATCTATCAGTTAGCTGTAACCGACCACTTACTGACCTCACTTGTGAGAATTCAGTTATTATGCCTTTATGGAATGGGTAGATGAGCAGAATCAGGGAGTCCTGGATCAGCTGGGATTCTGGACACTGGGAGAGGGAGCCCTGGAATGAAAAGGTAAAGCTTTAATGCAAAGAGTGTATAAATACTTTTTTAGTTTGCTATGATCTTCTAATATGTGAGGTCCATGGTAAGAGAGATATCTCTAGAAAGATTAAATCACTTTTCTAAATTCAAGTGTTATTGATCCTCAATATTTTCTTCATTGGGACCAGGCATATATATTAAAATCAAGAGAAAAGTTCTGCCTTCATACTTCCTTATCATCACCACTATGTGGTGGCCAGTCCAAATAGGGAGAAGGCTTCAGCAATGGTGTTGAATGATTTACAACTTCTTGCTTTTGTGCTTTGTACTTTTTGTTTATATCATCTTACCTTGGCATTAGACCTCTTATCCTATCAGGATCAGTTACTGGTCCTTGTTCCCGAACTAATTGAATTCTTGGAATTGATTCTTTGGTTGATCTTCATGTCAGCCTGATATTTAGATCTTCAGCCATCCCTTCCACTGCTTCTGTGCTGGATTAATGTTGACTCTTGAGTTTTTGTGCAATGAAAAAAGCTTCTGATTGGAAATATTGGTTTATCATCAATAATCATTTTGTTCTTTCATGCTACTGGTATTGGATCAGTGAAAGTTATAAACACTTTTATTAGGTTCATATAAAATATTTCTCACAACAGCAATTGTGTTCTGAAATACAAAAATCTCAAATTCATAATATATCAAATTCCAAGGGCTTAAATTATAGAAAAACTATGCTTTTTCATTTCTTTTACAATCTAATGGAAAATTTTATTTTCCAGATCTTCTCGACTAAGATCATACTTGGGACTGAGTCCTGGGAGAATCAATTGTCAGTCACTATATGTGCTTGTCAGTTAACCTGAGACAATTGAGTTTTACCCTTATATTTTCTGCCTAGGAGTGCAGAAACTTCCCAGAAGAATTTGAAAGAGATTAGGGTTTAATGCTTTCCAGATGAAGAGAAACAAATTCACATACCCTAGATTATTTATTGTCTGTGTTTATTATCACTTTCACCAGAGGGAAGCATAGCTATGTATAAAACTTGCAGTGCTTACTGAGACCACTTCCTCACCATGAACAACAAATGTAGCTATCACATATAGTACTCAATACACACTTACACAGTTCATAGGTCTTATGAGACTTGCTTCCTTGGGTTTCCAATTCAGAGTAACATAGTGGTTGAATGAGGTGAATATTGTATAAGAGCCACTGGAATAAGGTTAAGAAACAATAGAATGGTTCAAATTCTTTAGGTCGAGTACCTTACCTGTACTGTTTTTTTTTTAATTGAGATTTTGAAGTAAGTTAATTATTGGGTATTTTACATGAAGATACTGTGAATGTAGTTAAAAGGAAGTTAGAAAGTTTTTACTTCTAGAAATTCAGAATGGGAAATCAAGACTAAAAAACAATTGTAAACTTGCGAATTACGAGCAGTGAAAGATGGCACTTCTCATTTTATGAAACTAGATAGTAAATGTTTTGAGTCTTTCTTTATTGAAACTTTTTTTTTAAGATTTTCTTTTCTTTTTTTAAGATTTTATTTATTCCTGAGAGGCGCGCACACACACACACACACACACACACACACACACACAGAGAGAGAGAGAGAGAGAGAGAGGCAGAGACACAGGCAGAGGGAGAAGCAGGCTCCATGCAGGGAGCCCGATGTGGGACTCAATCCCAGGACTCCAGGATCATGCCCTGGGCCAAAGGCAGGCGCTAAACCGCCCAGCCACCCAGGTATCCCCTGAAACTTTTTATTATTACCTGATTTTTACTTTAGTTATGTTTATAAGGAGAGTGAACTAAATCTTATCTTACTGTATTTAAGGAAACTTGATCATTTGATAATGTCAAAAATAGATTCCTGTATATAATAATAAATGCATCTCATTTTAAATTTTGAAGAATTTTACTAATTTTTAACAATGAGCAAATGAAAAGTCAGTTAAATTGAATACTTATCTATTTCATTTAGTATAAACATGACATTTAATTGAAAAATATTAGGACATTTGATTTTTCTGATGCTCTTTTGCAAAATTTGGACCCATCTGTGGCTTCATCAGCGTCCATTAACCATTTTCTTATTGCTTAGTTAATACGGACTTAATTGTGAAAATTGAAATAGGTGAATAAATGTAACATGTGAATTGTGGTTTAGATTGATAATTGATATTGACAAACATAAAATTATTCTAATGGGTTTTACAGTGGGTTGTGATGATTTTAAATAAAACTAAAGCTTAATTGTCTCATTGCCCTCTTATTTTTTCAAATTCTAAGGTCCCATTTCCTCTGTCTTACTCTGGCAGGCTTTAATCCAGTGTGAACAGTTGAAGAATGAACTGGAGAGGCAGACGGAAAGACTTGAAAAAGAACTCACGGCTCAGCAAGAGAAAAGGGCCTCTGAGAAAGAGATGATGAGAAAGGAAATAACAAAAGAAAGGGAGGACATGGGATCAAAGGTACTTGGGATTCAATTTGTTCCTTGCTGTGGCAGAGATGTTTGTGGTGATGTCTCTGGTGATGCTGTGGACTGCAACTCTTGAACTGAACACTCAATTTTAAAAACCCCTTAGTAGTCAATTGCTTATAATTTAGAGTTCATAAAAATTTTCCATTTTTCCATGTTTTGTCATATTCTCAGACCTCTCCAAATAAAATAATCAGTTCAATTCCATGGTAGGAAGTTGTGAAATTATACTTTGATCCCGCCATTCTGTTTGATGCCCTCTCTCATGTTTGTCATAGAAAAGCAGGTGCTCTGTGGATATCCAGATTTTATTTCAACCTGGTCTAAATCCAGGAGAGATGACTCCCCCACCGTATCCCCCACTCTCGAATTAGACTTGCAGAAAATGAAACACATGTAGGACCAAGAAACCAAGAAAAAGTAGTTATATACACCATACAAAGTAGGTTCTGACAAATTGCATAATGGATAATGAACATAACCAGATGAACACATGGATGGGAGAAATGAAAGGCAAAAGTAACAACTAATGTGAAATGGGCACTGTTTGGAAAACAGTAACAAACTGGAATATAGAATTGAAACCTATCTTTAATGTTGCTGCAATGGGAGCACCTGGGTGATTCAGTCTATTAAGTGTCTGACTTTTGTTTTCGATCAGGTCATGATCTCAGAGTCATGAGATTATGCCCAGAGTTGGGCTCCTCATTCAGTGTGGAGTCTGCTTGAGATTCTTTCTCTACTTTTCCTTTTCCTTCCCCCAGCTCACCCGCTATCTCACTCTCTCTAAAATAAATAAATCTTTAAAGTTGCTAAGGTAGAGGAAAATTGAGTAAGATGATCCATAAAATAACCAAAAGGGCTATAACATGTTTTTTTTTTTTTTAAGATTTATGTATTTATTCATGAGAGACACAGACTGAGAGAAAGGCAGAGACATAGGCAGAGGGAAAAGCAGGCTCCCCACAGGGATCCTGATGCAGGACTTGATCCCGGATGCCAGGACCACGACCTGAGCCAAAGGCAGGCGCCCAACCGCTGAGCCACCCAGGCATCCCAACATGTTTTGTTTTATTTTTAAAGCAACTGACAGCTTGTACCCTTAATGCTTTTTTAATATAATGTTCCAGGGTGTGAGAATTACGTTATTGAGCACATATTTACTGAGTATCTGTCATGTGCAAGGCAGTGTGTAATCCTAAGGATACAGAAAAGAGAAACATCACAAATTCTGTCCAGGAGATTTTAAGTCTTATGGATTCTGAAGCATTTACTGTAAACTCCCTTGTCTCAGCCTTTAGAAAGATGGCGCCTGTCAGAACCTTACTCTATCAATCTAATCATCTACCTTCTCTGACCTGGATGGGCCATCTGAGCCTGGCAGATGGCACCACGGTGCATCATGGCCTTTACATCCATGGTGCTCTTGCTGCTTTCCAGCAGTTTGCCACACATTCCTCTCACTCGTTCATTCTGCATTCAACAGATAGTAACTGGAGGGCCTGGGACTATGGGTGTCCCAGGACCAGTGCAGTCCTGCTTACAGAGGAAGAGAGAGGAAGACATTAAACACATACTTCCATAAGTGAGTTCGTAATTACCACCACGGTAAAGACAAGAAAGTACAGTATAGAGTACCATAAGAATATGTAACAGGCACACCTGACCCAGTCTGGACAGTTGTGTAAGACTTTCCTAAGAAAGAAATTTTGAAAGACTCAACCAGGGTGAGTAGGAATAGTCAGGTGAAGAGTTGAAGGAAAGTTTCAGACCCAGGGAAATGACACCCCCCAGACTTTGAAGCTAAAAAGCATCATACTTTTTAGAAATTTAAAGACCCAGGTGACTGGAACATAGGAAGTAGGGACAATAGTGGGAGATGAGTTTGGAGTAGTATGCAGGGACCAAAGTATAAATGGCCTTAAAGTCCATGTGAAAGATTTAAAAATTTTTAAAACTAATGGAAAACCTTTGAACGGCTTTAAATTGGGCAGCATCATGATGCCATTTATATTTGAGAAGTACCATCTGTCCATAGATTGGAAGGAGGATGGGAACAAATGCCTGGAGATCAGGTGGGAGGTAATTATCGTAGTCCAGGTGGCCATGATGGTATCTTGGGCCCTTTTTCAAGGACTATTTTAAATTACTTTTATTCTCCTCAATTATCTACTCTACCATCGTTCCCCTCATTCTCAGTGGAAAGCCTTACCTAACAAAGAAAACTGAAAACTTCAACTACTTATTTTCCTCCTCACCTGGGCCTTCCAATAAGATCTCACTAGCATACCAACCCTGTCAGAACAGGAGAGGCCTTATGCTAATTCATTCCCCTTGCTCTGAGTTCCATTCTCTTCCTCCATATCAGGGAGGTCATTTCTTTTTCTTTTACCTTTTTTTTTTTTTTTTAAGATTTTATTTACTTATTGAGAGAGGGCAGGGACAGAAGGAGAGGGAGAGCAAAAGCACACTCTGAGGTGAGCGTGGAGCCTGACAGGGGGTTCAGTCCCACGACCCTGAGATCATGCCCTGAGCCAAAACCAAAAGTTGGAAACTCAACTGACTGAGCCACCCAGCCCCTCATAGCTGTCATTCCTCTTCCTCTCCCCTGCTGAATCCTGTCTTTCCTTCACAGCAGCCTCTTTGTTATGATCTCAGGGTCGGGTTGAACAGAGGAGAATCTGTTCAAGTTTCTCTCATCCATTAAAATAAACACTCTTTTAATCCAGTGGTTCTCAATCTTGGCTCCACAGAAGCTCCAAAAATCTCATTGCCCAGTCTGCATCCCAAACCAACATGTGTACATAACTGTGGGTCGGATTTAAGTGTCAGCAGTTTTTAAAGCTGTTCAGGTGATTCCAGTGTAAGGTTGGAAGCCACCTCAGTAAATTCCATGTCCTTCCTAACTCTTCCCCTTAATGGGCAAATTTTTTGAAAGGTTTGTCTGTCTTCATTCTCTTACCTCTCATTATGTTCACCGAAGCCCTCCTTGTACTATTTTTAGGGAATATTTTTTAGTTCTTATTCTCTTTAAAAGATTTTTTCTTGATTTCTTTGATTTTTCTTGATTTGAGAGAATGATGGTGTGTGCCTTTCAGTTTGCTCTGAGTTTAAAGTGCCTTTGAGACAAGAAAGGAAACATATCCAGAAAGCAACTTGATGGAAAGTTCTAGAGTTTAACAGAGAGCTTTATATTTTGGGATCTTTGGCATTACAGTGTCTCCCAGTTTCACGTATATGGAATTGATTCCTAAATCCTCAGCTCTCTGGTGAGCTCCCATCCTCACCTGGAAGTGAGCCAGCTTCACTTCCCATCCTCCCTCTCCCAGAGGAGCCACTATTCATCCAGTTGCCAACCCCCAAATCTTGTTGGCATTCTTGTGTCCTTTCACTCCTTCACTCTGCTCATTATTAAGTCACCAAATTCTAGAGATTCAGGCACCTAGGAATTTTCATTGCCCTCTCTCTCTACCCTACGGCTATCCATACCTCACCCCTGGATTATTTCTATAGCCCCAAGACCTCTCCTTGCTTCCAGTCTCGCCTTCTCATCTGAGCCACAGCCAGGGTGATCTTTCTAAAATGAACATGTCAATACGCCAGTCTCTTGCTTTAAAATCCTTTCATGTCTCCCAGCAACCCCTTGAATAAAATTTAGGATTCTTCAGCATTGCCTGAAAATTCTACATTTCTCTTCCTCTCTTCAGCTCTCCTATCTCATCTCCCTTCACTTTCTTCCTTGCACTGCCACCATCACCATACTGACCTACCACATTAACTCCACTGCAAACATACCAATCTGCCATACTGTTTTTTTCATTTCAGGATTTTGTATGTGCTTTGTCCCTTGCCTAGAGGAATCCTCTGCCCTGTGCCCTTTATAACTGATCCTTCAGGGTTCTTGATACAACCTGCTCCCAGAGATGAATTGAGAGCCCCTCCTATGGGCTCCTATAACTCAATTAATTGCAAATTCTTACTGCATCATTTTTCTCTCCCAATTTACTGTGAGTCCTTTGAATATGTGGTTGGTTAACATTGTCATCATTTGGCACATCCCACTCATAAAATGTGCTCCACATATATTTGTTGAATGAAAAAATGACAAATATATATATAGAAAAAGACCCTGTGCCATTGGAAAGGTCTGGCTAAGATTTTGTGAATTCAGAGGATCAGGATGGCCTATGTCTGCAAGAGATCATGGATGATTTTGTGAGGAAGGTAGTGTTTTAACTGAGTGTCAAAGTGCAGGTAGGACTCAGAAATATAAAGCATGGGGCGAGGAATGCTGGCTACAACAAGAGTATGGCATGGAGTAGAGGTAACTTTGTGAATTGAGTGTTGTGTGTGTGACAGAGAATAGGACCAATACCAAAGAACAGCTATTAGTCATGTGTGGGAGACTCTTCTGGGTTGGAAGAGTGGAAACTTTTTGCCTTGCTGAATAGTTCTACTATATACAAACATGGAGCTGAGAATTGCTGATAAGGGAGGACAATAAAAGGCTGGAAGTGCCGCTATATTCCAGGTGCTCTCGTGTAACAGCGCCACTTTCTTACACTGATAATTATTTCACGAATAAAAGCGGCAACAGAAGTAAAATGTATGTCTGAGTCTGATTCATTTTGAGTTTTACCCGGAATAAGCCTTGGCTGGCATTTAATCTCAAGGTCCTACCCTAAATAAAGTGTCTGAATAAAGAGCTGAAAGTGGTCCTAGGGGCAGCCCAGGTGCCTTAGCGGTTTAGCACCGCCTTCAGCCCAGGGCCTGATCCTGGAGTCCCGGGATCAAGTCCCACGTCAGGCTCCCTGCGTGGAGCCTGCTTCTCCCTCTGCCTGTGTCTCTGCCTCTCTCTCTCTCTCTCTCTCTCTCTCTCTCTCTCTCTCTATCTCCTGTGTGTGTGTGTGTGTGTGTGTGTGTGTTTCTCATGAATAAATAAGATCTTAAAAAAAAAAAAAGACATTCATTGAAAGTGGTCCTAGCACTCAGGCAAGTGCTGTCACCAGGATATGGCAGTAAGAGTTGAAGGGTTTAGAGTTGAATCCAGTTCGACCTTCCTGTGACCTTGAACAATTCTTTTAACCTCTCAAATTTCAGAGGAGTAAGTAATAGAGTTAATCTACTCAAGGAATTGGTAAGATTAAGTACAAATGTTTCGAAAGGACCTAATATACCTGGCTTAGAGTGGACATTTAATAACTTTTAGCTCAAGGCTACTATCATTCTTACTCTGGAGAAAGAGAAACAGGGTAATGGAATAGATTTCTTAGACCTTTCTATTAGCAAAGCCGACATTTTTTACTATAAAGCCCGGCTTTACTTTTTATTCATTAGCTTTTGAATGAATTTAGGCAGATTCCTTAATTTTCTGAATCTCATTTTTTCAACTGAAAATTAATTCAATATAATTCATCCTTCAAGGTGATGAAAAAGAATGTACATCACACTGCCTGGCTTAGGAAGTTATTCTAAGAGGGAGACTGAACAATTCATCCTAACATTGTGAGAGCTCTGTAGTTAGGGTAAAGCAAGCATCCCCTGCCCCCACTTTCTGAGCAGTCAGGAATGCTTGTGAGACTTTTAGACTTTTTTTCTCTTTTTATTATTTTTCTTCTTTTTTTTCTTCTGACTCGTTCTCATTAATTTCTGTGTGTGTGTGTGGGAAGCTCAAAGAGAGCAGATGTCTTCTACCTAGACAGATTTTGAATCATCCCCCCATGAACAGTACTTGCTGTGAGTTTGTTTGTTGTCTTCAGTGATGGTCCTTGGCTGCGCTGAGCCCCTGGGTTTGTTAGTTCAGTCATTTATCATATTAGTGAGCACCCCCTTTGGTCTATACATTTTTTCATAGAATCCTTCATTCTTGCACCTGTTATACAGGGAGGACCACATTATACCATGTTCAGGACACTAGGGACTGCTGTAGTCTAGAGAGTTCCATCAAGCTCTCCCAACCTGGGTGTCCTTGTCTCTTGCTTGCCCCTGTCAAAGTTTAAAGGACTTACCTGATGTCAACGCCCTGGACATCCAGCAGTGTTGCAGCTGTCTGCGGTACTTCTGTCTCCGCAACAGATGTGGATGGAGAAGCTCCTGCAGTGTAATGTTGACTTCCAGATGGTGGGCGTGGGGAAAAAGAAGGTGTGACAACAGGAGTGGAGGCCTCAGGAAGTGGGTGACAGGAGGGAGCAGACAGGTAGTGGGCAGAGGAAAGAAGTGATGGGTGGCAGAGGGAGGGAATCAGATGGAAGGAGTGTGATTTGTTACATGCTTATAATAGAAACTGACTTGGAATTTACAATTAGCAAGTAAATGTCTGCATATTTACTTCAAAAACCACCAATGTTAATATATTTACCATAAGATACATCTTCACATAAGTATGATTTTTTAGTAGCTGGTAATTAAAGTTCGCTGCTGTTGTATGGTTCCAGAAAAGCTATAATTATATTCATAATATGGATACTCATAAACTTGAATTTTAAATTAAGGATATAAAGTAATCTCTTTATTTGTTACATTTAATGTCTTTTGACTTTCAATTTAGGGTTCAGATTGCAGTGTGTATTAGCATAGTTTGTAACTTCGTATTAATAATTTTATGTGCAAATTATATTTTTAACCAGACTTTTAATGATAAGGACATGTAAACAGCCATAAGTCAAACATACAATTCTCCACAATCTCCAGGAAAGTTAATGAATACATCTACCATTTAATTAGAAAAATCACTACCAGGGCTCATTATTTTCACGTGTCAACTTTAGCTTGTTACATAATTCAAAGGCAATCTTGATTTTTATCACAAACTTTGTGTTATTGAATTCAGTTGTAAAACTGAATTCCCACCCTTGTCAGTGTACAACAGTAGATTTAAAATATTTCAATTTTGTTACAAGCTCTTTTTTAACAGATTAAAAACTGGTAGGTATCTATATGTGTTTCCCTGTCAAGGAAAGTAGCATTTCTTCTTTGCTTTAAAACTGCTAATACAAATAAGAAATTAAGAGTCCAGGAAATTTTGACTTCCTGGAGCAGAGTAAAATGTAATTGCAAATGAAAAAATTATAAAGGTTAAATCTAAGATCTAGAAAGCATTTCTTACCCTTGGAAGAAAAGGTAAGGACCTGACATCCATAGAGCGCGTGGCTCCTTAGGAAAGTTGTTTATTCCAATGATCTACTCATTCATCAAACGTTCAGTCTCTCTTGAGGAACATGCCCTTGAGGAACTTGTAGTCTAAGGAGGAAATAGACAACTAAACAGTTGTCTAAACAGATAAGTACAGGCTGGAAGTATGCGGACTTTGCAGGTTGCAGTGTGATGGAAATATATAGAGGTGGTTGTGGCAGCACATGCCAGAGTGAGAGTCAAGATATTAAACCACCAGCATACATGGGCAGCAATCCATGAGAATGGATGCTAGCTGCAAACAGCAGACATGGCTGTCCCAGTACACAATAGCTGAATAGCAACCCTCTGTGTGTGAAGGGGCTCCTATTTTGTGCTGGGAGCAAGAGGTCAAAGAAACCTTCCAAAGGAGAGGGGGTAATGGCTGAGAGGAGGAATAGCAGTAGCTAGATAACAGGAAGGCTAGTGGAGTTTTATAGCAAGGAAAGTGCATAGAGCCTTCTTTATTGGTGCTGGAGTGATGGTAGTAGGATCCATTGAACCTCTGTTCTCTCTAAAGAAATCTGTCTCTCCAGGTCTCCCAACCAGTCTTTATGCCCTTAAGGGTTTAAGACTTCTCTGATTGGGATGCCTGGATGGCTCAGTGGTTGAGCATCTGCCTTTAGCTCAGGGCGTGATCCTGGAGTCCCAGAATTGAGTCCATATCAGGCTCCTTGGATGGAGCCTGCTTCTGTCTCTGCCTCTCTCTGTGTCTCTCATGAATAAATAAATAAAATCTTAAAAAAAAAAGACATCTCTGATTTTTTAAAAAGATTTATTCATTTTCTTTCTCTTTTTTTAAAAGGTCTTTAGTGTATTTATTCATGAGAAACAGAGAGAGAGAGAGAGAGAGAGGCAGAGGCATAGGCAGAGGGAGAAGCAGGCTCCACGCAGGGAGCCCGATGTGGGACTCGATCCCAGGACTCCAGGATCACGCCCTGGGCCAAAGGCAGGCGCTAAACCACTGAGCCACCCAGGGATCCCTGATTTATTCGTTTTCTAAAAGATTTATTTGAGAGAGAGAGTGGGGGGGCGCAGATGGAGAGGGAGAAGAGAAAATCTTAAGCAGCCTCCCCGCTGAGCATGAAGCTCAACTGGGGGAGGAGGGGTGTCGATCTCATGACCCTGAGATCAGGACCTGAGCTAAAATCAAGAGTCTAACACTCACGCCCTGGGCCAAAGGCAGGCGCCAAACCACTGCGCCACCCAGGGATCCCCAGATTTATTTGTTCATTTGAGAGAGAGCGAGAGAAAGCAAGGGGAAGGATAGAGGGAGGGAGAGAGAGAATCCTCAAGCAGACTCCCTGTTGAGCAGGGAGCCCAATGTGGGGCTCCATCCCAGGACCTTGAGATCATGACCTGAGCCAAAACCAAGAGTCCAATGCCCAATTGACTGAGCCACCCAGGTTCCCCAAGACTTCTTTGATTTCTTGACCTCACCTCTGAAATTTATTCATATTAATCCCCTCTACAGTTTATAGGATTATAACCTTAAAGTTTCAACCCAAATTTTGATTTTATCATCTTGTTACATGTTCTCAAAATGAGGGAGAGACCAGAGAATGAATGAAAAGGAAATACATATTTAAGTCATAGGGGAATGGGTGAGTTGAGGAAGTGGAAAAATTGACATACCCAAAACACAGAGAAATGACTTAAGTGAAGTGGCCATGCAGAGACTCCCATTAATTCAAGATTTTTTTTTTTACATAGTATATTAGTCTCAGGTATATAAAATAATGATTCAGCAGTTCTATACATTGCTCAGTGCTCATCCAGATAAGTATACCCTTAATCCCCTTCATCTGTGTCACCCATCCTCTACCCACCTCCCCTCTGGGAACCACCTGTTCTCTGTATTTAAAAGTCTGTGTCTTTCTCTTTTTTTTTCCTTTGTTTTATTTCTTAAATTCCAGAAATGAGTGAAATCATATGGTATTTGTCTTTCTCTGACTTATTCCACTTAGCATTATACTCTCTAGGTCCATCCATGTTGTTGCACGGGCAAAATCTCATTCTTTTTTATGGCTGAGAAATCAATGTTCTTAATATTTATTTTGTCAAATGACATTATTGTTTAGGACTTTTATTTCCTCTTATAGATGTTGTCCCTGTCTCAAAATATTGCACAACTGGAGGCCCAGCTTGAAAAGGTAACAAGAGAGAAGATTTCAGCTATTAATCAACTAGAGGGAATTCAAAACCATCTTGCTTCCAAGGAAATGGAGGCCACAAAGGTACAAAGTGAGATTTTAGTTTCTAATTTTTTCCTAATGTACGAGGCCCAGAAAGCAGTTTGAAATAGAAAAATTTTGTTATTTAAGATAGTAAAAGTCCACATGAAATTCATTAAGCAAGCGTTTACCTATTACAGGCAAGCCCTCTGATGGGTATTGTAAATACAAAAGATGAATTAGACACAAATAATATCCTTGAACCCAAGGATAAGTTGCTGAGACGGACTTGTCAAAAAGCAAGTTTCATTACTTTAATAGTTAATATTTGATAAAACTTACATTTCTGTATTAAACAGGAGAAATGTTTGCCAGAGCTAGCATTGGTTTGGCCTCCACAATTGTAGAAAAAGAGATTTATTCACCACATGAAGAATGTGTTTAACATAAAAAATTCTCCATGTCCCATTCCTCTCAGACCTGGGCTCTAAAATCAAAATTCCAATACTGAGTGTCTTATTTTATTGGTCCCTAAATTTATACTTTAAAATATCACAGTGTCTGTGCTATTGGCATCACAAACTTGTGAACCAAAAACTAAAATGTTTAGTAGTCTTGGCTGATTACTGTAAGGTACACATTTAGGAAATGCTAGAAGTCCATGTAGATTTCAGTGATCAGTTGCTTTAAAACTAAGAAACTAAATACAGGCATGCATAATGTAATAAATTAAACCAATTGATTTTTTTTTATCAATATACACAGGTCAAAATGACACAAGTAATTTTGTTTGAAATGTGTGCCCTTTTCATACTGCATTTTACTTATCAATGTATTTTCCTAAATTTTGACACATATGTAATGCCTTTGTTACTTTATAATTTAGTAATTAAAATTATCTTTAATATATAGAAGAAACAAAGCCTATTTTTTCTTTTCTTGACTTGAATTTCTATAATTCTCCATTTACTTTCTAAAATTCAAGCTAGCTAATGTAAAAGTTTAAAAAGACCTTATTTGCCAATATCATCAATATGTTTATGTGGAGGTAGGGGTAGAAGTATGGGAATGTATGTAAAAGGCTAGCAGTGACTAATCCAGATATATGGGGGAAAGCTGGTGGTGAGAGCATTCAGTCCATGTAGGGAGAGAACTTTCTGTTGGAATGTGTACAGTAAAGATGGCTCCTCTGGCAATTTACACATTTAATGCAATCCCTATCAAAATACCATGAACTTTCTTCAGAGAGTTGGAACAAATTATTTTAAGATTTGTGTGGAATCAGAAAAGACCCCAAATAGCCAGGGGAATTTTAAAAAAGAAAACCATAGCTGGGGGCATCACAATGCCAGATTTCAGGTTGTACTACAAAGCTGTGATCATGAAGACAGTGTGGTACTGGCACAAAAACAGACACATAGATCAATGGAACAGAATAGAGAATCCAGAAATGGACCCTCAATTTTATGGCCAACTAATATTCGACAAAGGAGGGAAGACTATCCACTGGAAAAAAGACAGTCTCTTCAATAAATGGTGCTGGGAAAATTGGACATCCACATGCAGAAGAATGAAACTAGACCACTCTCTTGCACCATACACAAAGATAAACTCAAAATGGATGAAAGATTTCAATGTGAGACAAGATTCCATTAAAATCCTAGAGGAGAACACAGGCAACACCCTTTTTGAACTCGGCCACAGTAACTTCTTGCAAGATACATCCACGAAGGCAAAAGAAACAAAAGCAAAAATGAACTATTGGGACTTCATCAAGATAAGAAGCTTTTGCTGAGGGGCACAGTCACCACGATATGGGGTCTGGAGGTGGTGAGATCAGGAACCATGCTTGAATCAAGTCACCAGACCCTGTTGCTTTGACAGTGCTCAGCTCCAGAAAGCTTGTGCCAGTTGCTCCATCTGCTTGTCCAGATGCAACTGGGCCAGGGAGTCTAGGCCTCATGGGGCAACAGGAAAATTGCTTCCACCAGCTGAGGAAAGAGCACACAGCTCACCTGAGCTCAGCTGGATGGCACAGAGCCATCTTTGGGGAAAGGTGGCACAAACCACACTCCCTGATTCCTCCCTGCACTTTGCCAGGTTTCCTTACTATATTCCTTCCCTTCCATCTTGAGCAAGCAGGTTTCACTGCTTCATTAGGACAAGTCAAAAGTGAATCAGTTTCACTACTTATAAATTTAAGAGCTTTCCAGAGACTGGCTGCTTGCAGCCCTGGGAAGATTTGTGGGATTACTATATGGAAAATACACCTTTATAATAAGCTTTAGACATTAAAACTATCTGAGTGTTACTACTGAGGTCACTGCTTTGTGACAAATGGCTGTGTACAATATACTGACTCTGCTGCCCTTGTTTTGCTGCATGTCAAATAAAATCATTTTTGCCCTAAAAAAAAAAAAGATAAGAAGCTTTTGCACAGCAAAGGATACAGTCAACAAAACTAAAAGACAACCTACAGAATGGGAAATGATATTTGCAAATGACGTATCAGATAAAGAGCTAGTTTCCAAGATCTATAAAGAACTTATTAAACTCAACAGCAAAGAAACAAACAATCCAAGCATGAAGTGGGCAAAAGACATGAAGAGAAATCTCACAGAGGAAGACATAGACATGGCCAACAAGCACATGAGGAAATGCTCCGCATCACTTGCCATCGAGGAAATACAAATCAAAACCACAATGAGATACCACCTCACACCAGTGAGAATGGGGAAAATTAACAAGGCAGGAAACCACAAATGTTGGAGAGGATGCAGAGAAAGGGGAACCCTCCTGCACTGTTGGTAGGAATGTGAACTGGTGCAGCCACTCTGGAAAACTGTGTGGAGGTTCCTCAAAGAGTTAAAAATAGACCTGCCCTACGACCCAGCAATTGCACTGTTGGAGATTTACCCCAAAGATACAGATGCAATGAAACGCCGGGACACCTGCACCCCAATGTTTCTAGCAGCCATGTCCACAATAGCCAAACTGTGGAAGGAGCCTCGGTGTCCATCGAAAAATGAATGGATAAAGAAGATGTGGTTTATGTATACAATGGAATATTATTCAGCCATTAGAAACGACAAATACCCATGATTTGCTTCGATGTGGATGGAACTGGAGGGTATTATGCTGAGTGAAATAAGTCAGTTGGAGAAGGACAAACATGATATGCTCTCATTCATTTGGGGAATATAAAAAATAGTGAAAGGCAATAAAGGGGAAAGGAGAAAAAATAAGTGGGAAATATCAGAAAGGGAGACAGAACATGAAAGACTCCTAACTCTGGGAAACGAACTAGGGGTGGTGGAAGGGGAGGTGGGCAGGGGGTGGGGGTGACTGAGTGACGGGCACTGAGGTGGGCACTTGATGGGATGAGCACTGGGTGTTATTCTATATGTTGGCAAGTTGACCATCAATAAAAATAAATTAATATAAAAAAGATGGTTCCTTTGTCTTTATAACTGTCCAGAAAGACTCAAGCATCAGAAGCATGCCTTGAAGTGGCTCCAACCATGAGATATCATTTTACATCGATTTAATTTGTCAGTTTATTTTAGGTAAACTTAATGGTTATGGATAAACTTAGCAATTGCTAAAGCGAAAGTAGGAAGGCAAGGGAACCTTTAAAATAAAATTAAGGGATAAGATGATTTTAAATAAAACTTAATGCCTAGACATATAATAATATAAAATAATTATGTATTAGTATTAGGTTTGAAACACCAGGACTGTGTAATTATTATTTTTTGATGTTATTGATTTGGGTTTTTTCATTTCATTCATGTATTTAAATCAAATCGATTGTGATAAGAATAAGGTAGGAAGCAAATTAGGGCCCCTCTAATTTTTTTCTGTCATCTAAATTTTAAACTTTATCTAGCTTTAAAATTAATAGCTTTCTGTAAATTACTAGTTTTTTTTTCTTTACAATGAGAGGGATCAGCTCTGACACATTTGAATTTCAAATCAAATTTTTTGTAATTCTTTTTCCAGCATTTTGAGGGCCAATGGGGAGAAACTATCTCCTCTGTCTTGTCACTATAACCTTTAGACACAGATTTTATTTTTCAAAGGTTTTTTTAATTTGAACATGGGACATAGATAGAGGTTTTATAAGATTCTAATATCTCAATAATGATAAAACTAATTTCTAAAGTTCCAATCATCAGTTTTGGAGAAATACCAAAATTGAAAAGTTTCAAGCAACTATAACCATTGGATGATACATGATTTTTTATAACTTATATTTGTAAGTCAGAGCCTGAATTGGAAGACTTGTGTATTAACCTTTCTGTAGGTTCTCAATTGTCTCAAAGACTCATAATTTGTTTTTTATTTTTTTTAGATTTATCTGCTAATTGCATTTTCCACATATATTTACCTGTCTGTAGAGACCCTGGATTGAAAAAAAAAATCATATGAAGGATGATATAAAACACTTTTAAGATGCTCTGTGTATTCATTATTTAATGATATATTAAAATAATTTCACCTAAATGTGTATTTCCTTTTATGTTGAATGCTACAGTTATAAATGCAGAGTGCATGGTTCCAGTCCATGACTTTTACTGGACAGGGTTTATTAACTTACATATATCACACTGTGCATAAGATTGACATTATCTACAAAGATCACAATAAATACTGTGTTCTACTATGCACCTAAATACCATATAGCCTCTTAGCAGAGAGAAAAATTCCTTTATTTTTGAAGGAAATAAAGCACCCAAAAGTTTAAATAAAGCCTAACTCATCAAATCTTTAAAGGAGAAGTTTATTATATAGAATGTATATTTAACCATAACAATTTGAATGAATATTCACATAGCTTAATATTTTAATTAATGATTTTATCTGCATAAGATGGAGATGATAGTGCATTTTGGATGATAATATGCAATTGAAGCTGTTATATTACACAAAAAGTCTTGGGAACATTCATTAAGTTTCTTAGTTATACATTTATTTATAATAATTTGAAATTGTTAAACCTGGTAATACCTGATACTACCTTCACATCTTAACAGAATACATTGAATATTCTAACAGAAAATCCTCTTAGGAAAATTCTATTGTATTTTATTTATATGACCTCTAGGGGGCACCAAAAGATCTAATTGCAGGCATTGCCTGGTAGAATCCCGCAGCTATTGATCTAGTTTTTACAATCTAACAGGTGTGCGGGGAAATGCGCTATCAGTTGAATAAAACCAAAATGGAGAAAGATGAGGCAGAGAAGGAGCACAGAGAGTACAGAACAAAAACTAAAAGGGATCTTGAAATTAAAGATGAGGTAAGAGATGACAAGTACAACTGCAATAATTAAAGACATAATTAAAGATGTAAGTTATTTATTTCTATTATATTGCTTCTAACTAATGGAACAATCCAGTGTATACTATTAAAAGAATTTCATTTATAGTTGCCTAAAATTATCACCTTTCACATGAGATGGTGAGAATACAACTGCCTGCATATAAAATCCCAATCTGACAGGTCATAAATATACATTTGGATATGTGTATCTATTACTTACAAAAGTAAAAAAAAAAATGTTCTAATGCACGGTTTGAACCTAAAATATACGTACATAAAGTTCTTGAAAGATGCCAACTTGAATCCAATTTTAAGTGAAAAAGTTTAAAATTTGTAAGATGAGATGAGTTGATATGTAAATATGTCAATCAAATTGATTGTTGGCAGAGTGAAACCAGTTTTAACTAAGATAACCATGAATTCTTTTGCTCAAGAAGCCTTAAATACAGGGAAATTAAAAATGTTAGGAAAAAATGCTGCTTACTTCATTTCAGTTGAACAGATGTTTTATGTTATATCTGTGTTAAGATCATGTAGATACTCCAATTTTAATTGACGACATGGATAAAGTTTTGAGAGGCAGTTCTAATGGACTTACTTTGGATTTTCCATTTTTGTGTTATAGTACAGAACATCAAAGGCTTTCATTCTCTACATTCAATGAAAGCAGATTGATAAATCTATTCAATTAAAATGAATTCTCAGTATCAATATTTTTTAAAAATCACAATTTAAAAGTAGGTAAATGTAAAAGTAAATTTTTCAAATATATTTCTAGTTCATAGCTTTTTATCATACTTTCCAGCATCTTTTCCCTTTCAACCCGCTCAACTCTTCATTCAGACGATGAAAAGACAATTGGGAAAAGTATTAAAAATTAAAGTGATAATGAAATTTAGTACTTGAAATAGTTTTTCAAGTCATAACTGAAATTCCTGGTACTAAATAAACATCTGAACAACCAAAATCAGATTCTGCTTTAGTACCACTAGATTCAGAGTGTTAGGAGTTTTAATTTTCAGAATTTTCATTATTAACACATACAGATATTTAAACTCTTTTATTGCATCCAGTTGGGGGCGTGCCTGATAGTGGAATTGTAAATTCTCTCTTTCGGCGACTAAAGGTTTAGCACTACCAAACCAAATAGAACTTTCCTTTCCTTTCCTGATATATTATGACTTAAAAAAAAAAAAAGTATCATCTTGGTATGCTACCTAGCATTGTTATATACTTTTGTATTATTCTATAGTATCTGCCCAATATACCGACTTGGACTAACTGGAAAAAAAATAGGAAGAGTGAGTTATTTAAAATTAGAAGATAATGTTCTAGGAAGAAAAAACACTGTTGGAATAGTAAGATTATCATATCACTTGTAAATAATGTGTAGAAGTATTTGCAATATTTGTCTTTCAGCTCATTGCAATTAACCAGTAATGATCTGAAGTTACAGGATTTTAAAAGGAGCTGTTTTCATTTGTAAACATTTCCTGCTAAATAGTGAAACATTAGCAGTTTTCATAATGATTTCTAGTGTTGTTTTAGATAAAGATGTGCCTTCTTAGGAGGTCAGAGGGTTAGAAATAAACCCTCAGAATGATTACAAGATGTTTGTGATGTGATGTGCTTGTTATCATTTTCTCTTGGACAGAATGTGAGGAAATCTTATAGGTACTCTTTGTAACTATTTTGTATTGAACAGACAGTTTCAGAAAAGAAAGTGGTGGTGTCTCATTCCATGGATGATCTGGAGGAGCAAAGCAGCAATTGTTCTTTGGTCTTTCAGCCATGACCTGACCTTCTGTCTGTAAGACCAAAGAGCTACTTTGCTTGGACACCATCTGCACTCAAGAGAGAAATTTACATTTAACTTTTAAAAGCTGGGTATGTTGAACATTTATCAGAAATACTTACAATAATATAAAGTGTATTTAACTTTTAAAGTGTTACACATCATACAATTCAGCATCACAAGAAGGCCATCTCTCAGTTTACAAACAAAGCGTTCCTTGTGATCTAGTCATTTTATTCATATTTTTGTTAATCTGGCCTCTTGATATATTTTTAAAGTAGGTGGGAAACTGAGATTGGAATGTGGTAAGAACAAGGGCTTTTTTGATGTAGACAAAATAGGGCAAATGGTTGACCACCAAAATCATTTTCTTTGTGACCTGAGCCTTGACTCTGGCATAATTAGAAGGAAGGGTTAGGGGAATAACAATAGCGATCTCTTCCTCCCACTTTCTCTTTTTCTTCTTTATATTGTGTCAGGAACTCATGGGCGAATTATCCTTCCCATCAACTCCTTTGTATCTCTTCAGTGTAGAGCACTCCTGTCAGCCTGAGAGGATACTTCTCGCACCAGGAAAAAAAAAAAAAAAAGACATTTGGTATGGAGGAAAATGAAAAATCTCTGCCCCAGTTTTTATTTGAAAATTTTTCTAGGCAACAGGTACACACGTACATGCACACACAGAATCCATTATGGGAATTGAAAAACATATGAAAAGGAGGTTATAATGAATTCCCATATTTCCATCACCTCAGTTCATCATTTTGCCAATCCTATTCCATCTATCTCATGTTTTTTTCCTCTCCTTCTCATTTTGTCATTGTCTGTTTCTTCATCTTCTCTTCCACATTCTCTTCTGTCTCCTTCCTCTGTTGCTCCTTTTGCTGAAGTATTTGAGGAAGATCTCAGACATGATATTATTTCACCAATGAATCCCTCAATGTGTGTCTATGAGGGATTTTTTTCATAATCACTATGTCGTCATCTCACTTGACAACACTAACAATAATTCTTTAATATCTTGTAATGCCCAGCCCATACTCAGACTTCTCTGACCATCTCCACAATCTCTGCTTTATAGCTGGTTTATTCAAAGCAGACATCCAGGCGTGTTTTTATATGTCAGAATGTTATGGTTTTTATCTTCTTTAATAGGAAATAAAGGGATATCTTAGAAAAATTTCAACTTTCTTTATCTACCATTGTCATATTAAATTTCCTACATATGTTTTGATTGTGCTCTATATTTATAATGTGCCACATCATCATTCTAAAGAAATATGAATTTATCCTATAGCAAACTATATAAGGGAAGTGGCCACCATGCAGCAACCCCAATCATCATATCCTTTCAGCTTCTGAAACCCAAAATTCATAATTAATTTCAGAGTCTTTCATTTAAGATTGGAGAATGCTGCAGGAAGCCCTGTTATTCTGGCATTGCAAAGGTTCACTTACAAAGGTTATGGCCAATGCAGAAGTAGAATTTTCCTTGCCACCTTCTATTCTGGTAGATGAATCTCAGAAGGTGGTTCTTTAGAGCTCAGAGGGTTGATCAGGGCATGGTGGAAAAGAAGAACGCAGGACTCTTTGTTCAAAATGCAGGAAAAAAGTGATGCTAGAGGTAGCATTATATTATATTTTATATTTATAATATAAAATATTGTTCTTTTATAGTCTTAATCTTTCTCTCTCTCTCTCACCTAGTTATGGTGTTTTTTATTTGCTATTTAACTTTGGACTACCTTTAGCACAGTCATACTCATGGGGGAGTGTAGACATATGGATATCTGGATTAGGATGAGCAGAGACTCCACATTGGTCTACTGAGTGTGCAATAGTGCTGGCAGTTGGGCAGGGATGATCACCTCCATATCCTGGGATGGAAGGGTGATACACTCAACCTAATCTTCCCTAGGCTCAATCTGGATTCCTGCCAGAGGCAGAGGGCAATAGAAGAACACAACCCCACCTACACCCACACCCACCTTACACTGTTATGACCAGGTTCCACCTAAGGCAGATGGCTGCGAAATCCCAAAGTATGGTCCAGAAGAGGAAACTGCAGGGAACGTGTCTGAGTAACACCTCGAAGCTGCTGGGAGGCAGTGAAGAGACAGAACCACAGATAGGAGTGGGTGGCCACTGTCCCATCAGACTTCTCTGACAAAACACAAATGCCAATACATAATCATTAAAAATTTCAAGATGTCGACCACATGGCATTAAACAGCAAGGCTCAACACCCTTCTAAACAGCAACCTTCTAAGCCCTGTATTACTGCACTGACTACAGGCCCATAATGCTACCAAGTCTGTGAGGATAGGCAAACAGACATTTGGTGTACTGCTACAAATAGAAACACCCCACTTGCACATACAGACATGCATGAGTGTTTAACATGCCCATGTCCTTGTACCCCTAAGACAGGGCTGCCCAACTACAACTCATGGGCCAATCTGACCTATTGCCTGTTTTTACAAATAAGGTTATGTTAGAATACAGCCACATATGTTTGTTTATATATTGTCGATGGCCATTTTCCTGCTATGCAGAGTGGAGTTGTGGCAGAGACTCTGTCCCTGTAGCCCACAAGGACTAAGATATTTACTATCTGAGCCTTTGTAGAAGTTTGCCACCTTCTACCCTAGGTATAGAAATAGAACTGCATGGCTTAAGTTTCTCCTGCCTTACTAAAAAGTGGAGCTTTGAGTTTAAAGACTAATCAACCTTAGATGATAACTTAATAGTTTTAGAGTATTTTGCAGTATGGCACATGGCCTCATCCCTGGTCTCTTAGTCATCTCGTAGCATTGCCAAATGAGGGTATGATAGGTTTTAATGTTGTTATCTTAGCAGTGGTACATGGCTTAATAATGGCTCATATGAGAGGGGCCCCTGGGTGGCTCAATCAGTTAAGCGTCTGCCTTCGGCTCAGGTCATGATCTCAGGATCCTGGGATCGAGCCCCAAAGTTTGGCTCCCTGCTCAGCGGGGACTCTACTCCTATCCCCTACCCATATTCTCTCTCTCTCTCTCGCAAATAAATAAATAGATCTTTTTAAAAATAATGACTTAGATGAGAGTGCAAACATAGATATAAAACTTGTTTTACAGTTAGAGTTTCTTTTACATTGGTAAAATTTTTTTCAAGAGACAAGAAGCCTTTTTTTTTTTTAACCA